GGTGGTACCCACAGCCATGGTTACTCGCTGCCTCCTGCCGCGACCACCCACCACTGACTGCTGCCGCTGCCGCTGCCGCTGCCGCTGCCTCCGAAGGCCGTCTCCTCCCGCTGCCTCCTGCCCTAGCTTTCTCGACCCTCCCTCCTCCGTCCTCCCTCCTCTTTCCTCCCTCTTCCCTCCTTGTCGTCGTCCTCCCTGGTCCTTCCTTCCTCCTTTGTCGACCCTAGTCTTCCTTCCAATGATGTCCCTTGTCCGTCCTTCGTCGTCCTCGTCGTCGTTCGTCGTCGTCTCCCCTCGTCGTTGTTGTCCCTTCTTCCCTTGTCGTCGTCCTCCCTCCTTCCCAGAAGAAGTGGCCCTCCCCCGTCGTCGTCCTCGTCGGCTCCTCCCTCCCTCGTCGTCGTCGGTCGGCAGTCACGAACCTGCACACGAATGGGCAGCGCCGACTTCGAAACCGGCCCCGCCCGTGGCCCGAAGTGTTTGTTTTTTGGGGGAAGGCCTGCAGAATTCGAATTCGAATTCTGCAGACCTTTCCCCCCAAAAAAAAAACTTGGGCCGCGGGCTGGGCCGGTTTCGAAGCCGGCGCGGCCTCTTTTTCAATTTTGGGAGGCCGAGGGGGCACCGTACTCGAACCCCACCCCCCGTTTTTTTTTTTTTTTTGCGACCCTATTTATTTGGGTGCGGGGCGCAGTGCGGGGCGCTGCGTGCGCAACTCGTGCGCTGAGGCTCGCACCGCGGGGCGCCGCAAGTATGGTTCAAGGTCAAGACTATCTCGTTTGATGTGTATGATGCTGCTTGGTTTCTGGAATTCACTACTGCTCATTTTCCTTGCAATTTGGTATCGAAGCTGTGGTACGGTGCGCTGATCTGGCGCTTGTCTTCTGCCTAATGCGGTACATGCACGCGGTGTGTACGGTGAGTGGACGTGTCGTGGGACGGGTGTAGTGAGGAGGGCGAAGCCAAGTAGGCGACCTAGGTGGAGAGGGGTTCGCCAGGAAGGCTTTGGGGTGTGATATTGGGTGTTGGACGGTGTGATGAGAACTATCTGATGTACGATTGGTGCTGAGGTGGAACGACGATGTAATGCTGGTTGTGCCGATGCAATGACTGGTCATCACAATCGGAGTCAGGTCATCTAGTGAGATTAGCTCTCTGGTTGGGGGCAGCTATTTGAGGTATGTTGCTCTTAACCTTATCTACCCTCTTCAACACTTCTTACCGTGAGGATGTGTGTTCTGTCTTGAGAGCCCTCTCATTGTGAGGAGTCGAGTGCGCTCAACCTTGAGAGTCGGCAATGTTCACGTGGAGCATCTGGGGAAAGATGGGCGGAGCTTTCTGAAGGGCCCTGGACGAAGCACTGGGTCACGGTCACCATGCCAACCCACCGGGAGTGAGCACACATGCTTTGCTGCTTGTCCTTTGTTCGGTTCACTGCGCTGTTAGATGGGTTCTGAGCGGCAGGCCAGCCCTATGAGGGAGACGAGAACCGGGCGTGGGGCGACTATAAATAAACACCGGCAGGGGAAACCATTGGCTGTGATCGTCGTCCTGTCTGCGACGTTAAATAAATCCTGACGACACTTGGGGGCGGTCCTTAAATAGCCTCTTGATCAGCCAATCGGTGTAAGGCTCGCTGCACGCGAGGGTAAACATTGTGCTATCGCTGGCCAGCTCAGCGGGACTCAGGGCACAGGGGTGGGCCGTGTGCACACCTTTAGACACGCACTGCTATCTGGATGGCTCAGGAACGCTGATGTCAAGCGACACTTAAGAGGAACTGAGGGAGGGGTAGATTTCAGGTGATAAGTTCGGGAAAAATCCCACGCTGTCCATATCCACACAAATGATTTTATTTTTATATTTGATTAGTTAGATGTACAGCCATTAACATCTGACAGAAGTTAGAACGGTATTCTGTTCATTGTGCATTCTGTTCGTGAACTGGTCAAACTAAAAGTAGTTTCGTTTGTAGGAATCTGAACTTATCTGTTGGACCCAACTGGGTATCTCTGACATAGTCACCGATTATTTATTTTATTTTATTTTAAATCGGTTTGTGCACTTGCTGCGGTAGGCAACGGAAGTTTGTCCTGGTGTAGGCAGTGCACAGTTCTGTAGCTTATGAGCAAAAGGGAGAACACTAGCGAGGACGACTGTATCTTGTGATCGGCAGACGACCGATAGCCCATCTGGCATTAGGACCAGAGGGTGACAGGCTTCTGTTCCGCCAGCTTAGGGAGAGGCAGCAGCAGGAGAGGAGAGCTAGGGCCGCAGAGGCAAGCAGGACGTTCGCTAGCGAAGCCGCTGTTTCAGCAGCCATGGCAACTGCTGCACAGCAGAGTTCCCAGGCAAGCAGCTCAGGGACCATTGGATCAACGGAAGAGTGAGTCGACTGGCGTGATGGCAAGGCAACCGATAGTGTTGACTCCTGAGGAGGTTGCCATACAGCAAGCAGCCGTTTGCGAGGCACAGCTACAGAAGGCATTAGGAGATATAAAAGTGGAAAAGGAAAGAATGATTAGAAGAAGAGCTAGGGTACAGCGTAGACAAGCGGACATAGCGGAGGTAGAGGGTATGGACCTGACAAACATGGATGCCGACGTGAGAACCCTACGGTCAGCACTACTTAGCATAGTAGAAGTGCAAGACCAGCAAACGGATCTCCTCACGAGCATCCAGCAGAGCTTGGCCGTGCTGGTCGAGCGCAGTCAGGCAGCCCAACTGCCGTCAAGGCCCGGTGTCTGGCCCGGGATACAGCCTCCTCCTTTTGTTCCACCGGTGACTGGGGTATCCCCATATGTCACCTCAGTACCGGTCCAGACCGCTGCCCTCAGTATGCCACTCACAGGAGGGTTCTCAGCAGGTCTTAGTGTACAAGTTCCTATACAGACATTGTTTACCCAACCTCCGTTACAGACTGCCATGAGTGGGCAGCCTGTTGTCTCACAGTCTGTACAGCAGCAGGGCACACAGCCTATGCAACAGCAAGTACAGCAACCTGCGCCCCAAGGTCCACAGCCTTTGGTGGGCCAGGTACCGGGAAAAACACAGTGGGTTCCAAAGACCGCAATCGCCGCTCCTAAGCCTTTCACAGGGGATAAGAAGGGCGAGGACCTCGACACATGGTTGAGGTCAGTACCGGTCTACGTCCGATGTAAACTCACCTTACCGCATGAGGAAGTGCTTGTGGCTGCCTCCTACCTGGAGGGGAGTGCAGCGAGATGGTGGAGTGGGTTAGTGCAGCTGCAGGGCTATGGTCATGATTTCCGTGCTTGGTCAGCCAACCAAAAGCTTGATGACTTCATCAAGTTGGTTGAGGAAAGGTGGCATGATCCTCAGGAGGCCCAAAAGGCCACTGACACGATCCTGACCTTGAGCTCTAGACAGTTCAAGTCAGTAAGAGACGCCACCGACGCTGTTGAGCGTTTGATCTGTGTCCCGATCGTGCGCTACGATCCTCAGGTGTTGTTAACAACATACCTGAGGTGCCTTCCAATGCCACTAAGAAATCAGCTGGCCAGCGAGGCCAACATTAATGTGCACAACTTTCCCTCGTTCAATAAGAAGGCCCGAGACCTGGAGGCAAAGATAGGGCATGGACACACACCCACAACGGATGGCAGGAGAAAGTCACTGCCTCCCAACTGGAAGGCCAAAGGCCGAATCATGTTCGTCGACAAAGATGGTTACACCATCGAATTGGACGACGACTTCCAAAAGGGAGTAGGTGCAGAGGCAGGCAGCATAAAAGCTTCAGGGGGTGAAGCAGTTGCTGCCACAGTCCAGCAAAAAGGTAAGGCGACCGGTCAACGCCGTGGAGGCTCCCGGTGAAGTTGACCCCAATGCTCCTCCATGGGAGAAAGCGGGTCTCACTGAGGACGTGTGGAGAGACCGTTACAACCGGCAGGCTTGCATCCGTTGTGGCCAATATGGCCATAATCAGTTCAAGTGCCGAAACAAGAAGGTGACGGCAAAGATCCCGCCTACGATGCGGCAGGCGATGGGATCCTCCACTCTCGTAGGCAGCAATGTAGCCAGCAGTTCTGGCACCGCTTCGGGAAACACGTCGGGCCAGTAGGAATAGTAGTTGTTCCTGCTAGGGTCGAGGTGGTGGACACACCCCTACCATCTCGAGAGATGGCCCAAGCTACTGACTCCACCGCCGTCCCGCAAACGCAGTCTGACCCTGCGATCCTTTGTTCGCTGAATGTGTTTGAGTCCTTAGAGGAGCTAGAGGAGGAGTGGTCTAGATCAAACCCCCTAGCTTCTTGGACGGTCATGGCTAAAACCCCTAAGGGTGAGTTGTTCGTCGGCTAGGTAGTCATCGGCGGCCGTAAGGCCGGGGCCTATTATGACACTTGCTCGACTCGTAACTTTATCAGTCGCGAGTGCGTTGAGAGGCTGCGCTGAGAGGGGCAAGTGCAGCGCCTGAGTCGAGCTGTGGAGTCGACTTGTGCCAACAAACAGCGCATGGTAGTCAATGACTACCTAAAAGACATTGAGTGTCTATTCCCGTACGCGGGAGGGGAACTGAGACATCGAGTCTCGTTCCTAGTCAGTGATGATCTCCCGATGGATATCTTAGTGGGTATGTACTATCTTTTGGTTGCACAGCCCCAGTTTGACTGGGATCGAAAAGTGGTCAAACACATCTTGCCCAATGGGGGGACCTCCAGATTACGTAAGTTCAAGGCTAGTAGTCTGAATGATTCCTACGGGTGCATGAGTGCGGCAACGTTCTACAACTATTATAAGCAAAATCTGGAGGAGGGTATGTACTTAGTCCATGTCTCTGCAGAGGGTGAGCCGGTGAAAACACCTCCAGAGATAGAGGGAGTGATCGCTAAGTACCCTGATTTATTCAAAGAGCCGAAAGGAGTTGTAGAGAGGGAGGTCGTCCACGCGATAGAGATTATCCCAGGGTTAAGTATTCCGAAGGGTAGGATCTATCAGATGTCTCCGGCGAAGCTTGATGAGCTTCGCAAACAACTTAAGGAACTCATAGAGAAGGGTTGGATCCGACCGAGTGCCTCCCCATATGGGTCTCCAGTCCTATTGGTACCAAAAAAGGGAGGCACGTTAAGGATGTGCATTTACTATAGGGGTCTCAATGCCATCACAGTGAAGAACGCAGAGCCCCTACCGCGTATCGATGACTTGCGCTGGACCGAGTGCAAGGGTGTCGGTACTTCAATAAGATAGATCTGAAGTCCGGGTACCATCAAATTGCAATCCGGCCTGAGGATCAACACAAAACCGCTTTTCAGACCAGGTACGGTCTGTATGAGTTTGTGGTGATGCCTTTTGGCCTGTGCAATGCTCCTGACACTTTTCAGCACGCGATGAATCGGATCTTTCATGACTACTTGGACAAGTTTATCATCATGTACCTCGATGACATACTTATCTTTAGTAGGACTCTCGAGGAGCATGTGGCTCACTTAGATAAAGTCCTGAGTCTCCTTCGAGAGCACAAGTTTAAGATCAACGGGGAGAAGTGTGAGTTTGGCCGCGCCCGGTCTTGTACTTGGGTCATGAGATTTCCGCAGAGGGATTGAAGCCCGATGACGCGAAGATGGCCAGCATTCGTGACTGGCCGCATCCTCAGTCTGTGACTGAGATGAGGTCTTTCTTAGGGATGACCGACTACTACCGCAATTTCGTTCAGAACTATAGCATAGTAGCTGCCCTTTTGACAGACTTGACTCGCCTTGATACCCCATGGTAGTGGACAGATCGGTGTGAGGCCGCTTCTAGACATCTGAAACATGCCTTGACACACCATGAGGTCTTGAAACTACCCAATCCTGACAAGCCTTTCGTAGTCACCATTGATGCTAGCCAATATGACATTGGTGCTGTACTTGCGCAGCAGGAGGGGAAAAAGTTGAGGCCCGTAGAGTACATGTCAAAAAAGATGCCCTCTCAGAAGTTGACAAAGTCCACATACGAGAAGGAGCTTTACGCAATCTTAAAGGCCTTGACACATTGGAGGCACTACCTCCTTGGGCGCTTCTTCTATGTCAGGACTGATCATCAGACCCTGAGATGGATGAAGAATCAACCGGTGCTCTCTGACGCTCTAAAGCGTTGGATTGAAGTCATAGAGCAGTATGACTTCGTACCCCAGTACATCAAGGGGGAGTACAACAAGGTCGCGGATGCATTGTCACGTAGACCAAACTTCTCCAGTGCGTTGATCACTGAGTTTGGGCTTGAGGACAATGTTACTCAGTCTTTGGTGGAAGCCTATCGCGAGGACCAGTTCATGTCTGAGATCATTCGCAGACTCGAAGCGAAGGATAAGTCAACTTCCACTGAGTTTCAGTTGGGTAACGGAATGCTGTTCCTTGAGAAGGAAGGGAATAAACGTCTCTGTGTGCCGGATAGAGAGCCTTTGCGTAGTTTGCTTTTAGGAGAGTGTCATAATGCCACCGGACATTTTGGCTTTAAAAAGACTGCAGCCAATCTGCTGCAGCGGTTCTGGTGGCCCACGATGATGAAGGACGCCAAGCTGTACGTGGAAACTTGTCAGGTCTGTCAGAGAGACAAGCCATGTACACAGGCCCCTCTTGGGCTTCTAAAGCCGCTTCCGATTCTGGAAAGGCCTGGTGAGAGTCTGTCCATGGACTTCATGGGTACTCTGGTCACCAGCAAGAGTGGAATGCGCTACGTCTATGTCATTGTGGATAGGTTTAGTAAGTACGCTAGGTTAGTCGCAATGCCTGCAACAGCTAAGACTGAGTATGTGATCAAGTTGTTCAAAGAGAAAAGAGATTTTGGGCTGCCAAAGTATATAGTTAGTGACCGGGATGTGCGATTCACCAGTGAACTGTGGAAAGCTGCAGCTGCAGAGCAGGGCACACAGCTGCAAATGACATCAGGCAACCATCCAGAAGCGAATGGGCAGGCAGAGCAGTTGAACCGCGCTGTACAACATCTGTTGAGGCATTACATCAAGCCAAATCAGGTGGACTGGATGAGAAACTTGCCCTCATCTTCAGCCTGTACAACAATGCAGTGCACACCGCTACGGGAGTAAGCCCGAACAGCTTGCTACTGACTTTCAAGCCTAAACTGCCTTTGGACTTCCTACTACCTGAGAATCAGCCATCTGCTGCACCAGGCACCTTAGAGTTTGCTTATCGATATGAGCATCTGATGCAGCAGGCTGTTGAGCAGATGCACAAAGCGCAGGCGGCAATGATAGAGTCTGAGAACAAACACAGCCGCCCATCTACATTCCAGGTAGGGGAAATAGTATGGGTTTAAGTCCTCAGAACAGGGACAGGAGCACGGGATTTCCCGCAAGCTCATGCCACAGTACTTTGGACCATGGGAGGTTCTAGATGTCGTTGGGAATGAGCCAGATGGACCTTCGTATGTTATTCGCATCCCTGGTTACCTTCGCACTTACCCTGTTTTCAGTTTCCCTCTCGTCGCTCGATGCTGCCCCCAACCATGGGTGGAGAGGTCGACATCGATGACATCGTGGACCACAGGGAGATGCCAGTACCAAGACCAGCAGGAAGGGGACGTCCTCCAAAACCGAAGCTGCAGTACCGGGTTCGGTTCAGACATCACACTGATCCAAAGGAGGATCGCTGGTTTACAAGGGAAGAACTGATGCAGACCGCTCCTCGGGCAGTCGCCCAATATGAGAAGTCTCTGCAGAAGGGAAAGCGCCAGATTATCGAAGACTGAACTTCTCAGAGGACTTTCAAAGTATGGAGGAGGGAATGCGAGGCTAAGCCCCGATAAGGCCCTCAGAGGCCCTGTTTGCATTGGCGTCGGCCGCCCTAAGTGAAGGCAGGCTCGACAGGCCCTACGGGCCCCTTTTTCAGGCCTCCCCGTAACTGGGGTAATTCAGACAGTTGCGGGGCGTCAGTTGGTTACAAGCGCTCAGGCCCAGGCTCCATTTTGCAAATGTATTTGAGGGGCGCCCTGCGCCAGAGGCATACACGGACCGAACACAGGCCGGGAGCAGTTGGGCACGGGCAACTAACTCAGGCCCTGGGCCTGGACTGAGGCTCAGCCATCCGGGGCCTACCGGAAGCTTCCAGGCCAGGGTCCAGTACCGCAAGGCCGCAGCAACACGCCAGCCTCTTTCCATATAGGAAAGGTCTGGCCTCGCATTTCGGCATTCGGGTGCTGGCTGCATGCTGCGCAAGCACGCTGGCCAGCGCTCACGCGGTCACGGGCGAGCTGGGGACTGAGCACGCAGCCATAGCCAAGCTGCGCTGCTGTAGCTGGATGGGCGCATGGTGGTCCTTGGGTGCAAGTGGCATCTGTGAGTGGGAACGGGGTTGATGAGTGATGCGTGAGACGTACCTGGTGTGTGAGGCGACGGCATTGTCCGAGATCTGCTCGTACTTCAAGGAGCTGTTGATGTCACCAGCGGCATTGTAGATGTAGGCTAGATAGGATCTGCCATCTGTAGTCTGGGCGCCGAGCACCAGATAGGAGGTTCGACATTGGTTCTCGTTGATGATGATGAGACTATTCCAGCATTGTCACTTATGAGCTTATGCTGTCTTCTTATTTGGGTGGAACTCGAGTTGCAATTCTGCTTTTGGTTCAAGGTCAAGACTATCTCGTTTCATGTGTATGATGCTGCTTGGTTTCTGGAATTCGCTATTGCTCAAAAACAAAGGATAAAAATCTCGCTTTCCTCACAAACGTCTTATCACAGAGCTGACCAGACCCTGTTTACCCCTTACTCCCCCTACCCCCACCTTCCCTCCCCTATGGCGCTGCCTAACCATCGCTACACTGCATTCTCCTCTGCCCGCCCTAGCTCTCCCGACATCCCTGCTAAATTGTGGTCAGTAGTAGTCTTCCTCGCCTTACTCGTCCAAGCTGCTGCTCCGCTTCCTCCTGCTCCTCCTACACTTCCTCCTCCTTGTCGTCCTTCTCCTACCCCTTCTCCTCGTCCTCCTCCTCCCCCTCCTCCTCTCCCACAGAGTGCTCAGTTGTCCGCTTCATCAAACGCCCTCCCTGGTCATGACTACCAACACCTTTCCTGCCGGATACGACAGCCAGCTCATCCACCTCTGCCTCCACGTCAGCAAGAAAACGGTCATCATCATCGTCATTAGCATCAGTCAAGATATTGCCTGTACCTCCATGAGCCCTCGAATGCAAACAAGCACCGAACTCATCATCATCATCATCATCGAGCCCACTCCTCCTCCTCCCGTTCTCCATCCCCAGATCATCATGATGCTCCCTTTCCCTGTCCTCATCAGAGCAATCCACCTCCTCCTGCCCCTCCTCCTCCTCCTCCTCCTCCTCCCCCTCCCTCTCCTCCTCCCTCTCTTCCAGGTTGACAGCTTCCTCCTCCATGTCCTTTGCATTGCCACGTCTCAAATTGCCTCCTCCTTCATCTCCTTCCCTAGCCAGCAATGCTTGTTCTGCACTCTCCATCCGATCCCAGAGTTTCATAAGCATCGCCTCCTCTACCTGAAGGTAAATGGAGCTCCTTACCTACCTTGGCCTGCATCTCGTGCAACATGGCCGCCTCTTCTTCAAGAAGCCTTAATAGCTGTTGAGTGCTCAGATTGTCAACTGAAGATCGATGGCCATACATGGTAGAGAGCTTTGCTTTGCACAAATCACAAAAACACCAGACGAAAACTCTCCACTCCTGTGCGAGAGGGAGGAGAGAGACAGACAGACAGACAGACAGAGAGCAATGACTATCACCACAAGATGGATGGTCACACATGGCTATGCTTATCACGAAAAAGAAACACTAGACAAAACTCTCCAATCATCTGCGAGAGGAGAGGGGGAGAGAGAGGGGGAGGGAGAGAGGGTAATCACCATCAACACAAGATTGACGCTCATGCATGGCTCCCCCAAAGAGAAAAAGAGAGATAACAGAGGGAAATCATCGTCAACATGAGGGGGAGAAAGCACGAGGAGGAGGAGGAGGAGGAGGAGATCGAGGAGGAGGATTACGCTGACCAAGCATCTCTGTCCTTGAGAAACACAGGATGCACACTTCAAACTTGTGTGACAGAACAGCAGACGTGAGAGACGAGACCGGAAACGTGTATGTGTGTGTGTGTGTGTGTGTGTGTGTGAGAGAGAGAGAGAGGAAGAGAAAATGTGTGCCACAGAGAGAGAGAAAGAAATGAGAGAACAACAGCTACTCCTTTCGAGATATGTTTATCATGTTCAGATAATATATTTATCTTTCTGAGATATGTTTATTCTTCCAAGACATGTTTATCCTGTTCAGCTATTTTTATCTCTTCAGATGTGTTTCTTTTCAAAAGCCTTCTGCGCCCATTCGGTTTGCAAATGAAAGTTTTCACGTCGTGTTTAAGAGAAGATTGGCTTGTGCTTCCACTTCCTCCCCACACTCTCCCCCAAACAGCCACCAAGAATTTCATGCCAGAGCGTGCATAAAGGTGAGACACCAGTTAGCTTTATAAGGAAAAAAGGAAAAAGAAAGAAAAAAGGAAAAAAAAAAGGTCAGACGCCGGAGGAGAGAAGGGAAGAGAGGGAGACAGGAGCACAACAGGAAAGAGAGAGATGACGGGAGAGATGGCCAGACAAGTACGGACCAAGCCATCAGGAGAAACACGGGGAAAGTGAGAGAGAATGAGAGAGAGAGACAGCAGCGTCAAAGGAGAGTCACAGGAGCCGGCAGACAGCAATAGAGATTAATCAAACAGATGGTTGCTGCGGGTGGAGACACATGGCAGAAGACACAGAGAGAGAGAGAGAGAGAGAGAGAGAGAGAGAGAGAGAGAGAGAGAGAGAGAGAGAGAGAGAGAGAGAGAGAGAGAGAGAGAGA